TATCTGAAGCCTGCGTTTCCCTGTGTCAGTCCACACACCTCTGGTCATACCTGGAGCCCTGACAGGCACTATTCTTCCCACTGATGCCAACCATGGGATACCATTTCTTTTATTGACACCAATGATGGGGCACAATTCCTCCCATTGATGCCAACCATGGGATACTATTCCTTCCATTGACACCAATGATGGGGCACTCTACCTTTCACTGTTCCTGAGGCATTGTTTACTTCCCCTTACAGGAAAATTTCGACTCGAACTGGCCATAGTCAAGCCCTCCTAAAGTTTGAAGAAAAGTAAAGGAGGTCCTGATAACTCTATATAGATCTTTAGTTATCACTTGAGGGGTCACCAGCAGGAGGAAGGAGGTCCTCATTCCACTATATAGATTTTTAGCTATCACTACAGGGGTCACCAACAGGAGGAAAGAGGTCCTCATTCCTCTATATAGATCTTCAGTTATCAATAGAGGGGCCACCAACAGGAGGAAGGAGGTCCTGATTCCCCTATACTGTGTAGATCTTTATATCACCAGAGGGATCACCAGCAGGAGGAAAGAGGTCTGGATTCTTCTTTATAGATCTTTATATCACGAGAGGGGTCACTATCAGGAGGAAGGACAAAAGCGAGTACTCCCCTAAATGTGAAAATGTCCAAATTGGGCCCAAAGTGTCAATATTTTCTGTGGTCACCATTATTTTCAAGCACTGACTTAACCCTCTTGGGCATGGAGGTCACCAGAGCTTCATAGGTTGCCACTGGAGTCCTCTTCCACTCCTCCATGATGACATCACGGAGCTGGTGGATGTTAGAGACCTTGCACTCCTCCGCCTTCCATTTGAGGGTGTTTGTAGATGTTAGAGACCTTGCGCTCCTCCACCTTCCATTTGAGGATGCCCCACAGATGCTCAATAGGGTTTAGGTCTGGAGATATGCTTGGCCAGTCCATCACTTTTACCCTCAGCTTCTTTAGCAAGGCAGTGGTCATCTTGGAGGTGTGTTTGGGGTCGTTATCATGTTGGAATACTGCCCTACGGTTCTGTCTCTGGAGGAAGGGAATTGTGCTCTGTTTCAGTATGTCACAGTATATGTTGGCATTCATGGTTCCCTCAATGTACTGTAGCTCCCCAGTGTTGGCAGCACTCATGCAGCCCCAGACCATGACACTCCCACCACCATGCTTGACTGTAGACAAGACACACTTGTCTTTGGACTCCTCCCCTGGTTGCTCCCACACACGCTTGACACCATCTGAACCAAATCAGTTGATCTTGGTGTCATCAGACCACAGGACATGGCTCCAGTAATCCATGTCCTTAGTCTGCTTGTCTTCAGCAAACTGTTTGCGGGCTTTCTTGTCTATCATCTTTATAAGAGGCTTCCTTCTGGGACGACAGCCATGCAGACCAATTTGATGCAGTGTGTGGCATATGGTCTGAGCACTGACAGGCTAACCCCCCACCCCTTCACCCTCTGCAGCAATGCTGGCAGCACTCATACATCTATTTCCCAAAGACAACCTCTGGATATGACGCTGAGCACGTGCACTCAACTTCTTTGGTGGACCATGGCGAGACCTGTTCTGAGAGGAACCTGTCCTGTTAAATTGTATGGCCTTGGCCACCATGCTGCAGCTCAGTTTCAGGGTCTTGGCAGTCTTCTTATAGCCTAGGCCAGGGGTCTGCAACCTTTAAGACATAAAGAGCCACTTGGACCCGTTTCCGAGAGGGAAAAAAAGACTGGGAGCCGCAAAACCATTGCAACATTTAAAACAAATCCGACACTGCATATGTTGCAAAAAAGGCTCTGGTCATGAAGGGGGTTTAAGGGCCCAGTAAGCAAAGGGTTAATCAGGGCCACAGTGTATCGTCATAATCACAATCATAGCCTTAGGTCAGTGGTGGGCAACCTTTTTTTTCGACTGAGCCAAATCTCGCCAAAAGCACGATTGAAATTTATTTTGAGAGAAACATTTTTAAAACTGAAAATACATCCCCCATATAGTAATTCATCCCCCATAGTAATTCATCCCCCATAGTAATTCATCCCCCATAGTAATTCATCCCCCATATAGTAATTCATCCCCCATATAGTAATTCATCCCCCCTATAGTAATTCATCCCCCATATAGTAATTCACCCCCCCTATAGTAATTCATCCCCCATAGTAATTCATCCCCCATATAGTAATTCATCCCCCATAGTAATTCATCCCCCCTATAGTAATTCATCCCCCCCATAGTAATTCATCCCCCATATAGTAATTCATCCCCCATAGTAATTCATCCCCCCTATAGTAATTCATCCCCCCTATAGTAATTCATCCCCCATATAGTAATTCATCCCCCATATAGTAATTCATCCCCCCTATAGTAATTCATCCCCCCTATAGTAATTCATTCCCCATATTGTGTGAATTCACTTACCTTTGCTCCGCGCGTTCCTCTCGCTGGGTTCCCGTGCCGTTCTGGTCTTCAGGGCGGACTGTGAGAGGAGAGGAGTTCGTCACGCTGCCCCGCCTACATCCGGGCTGCCCCGCCTACATCCTGACAGCCAATGTTTGCCAGCGGGCGCCCGGCACACAGAAGATCTGCATTAAAAGTGCTGCGGCTTGCCGACCCTATTGCCTGTCACCTGGTGGGCAGTGTGCTCCGGAGCCGCAGGAAAGGTGAAAAAGAGCCGCATGCGGCTCCGGAGCCGCGGGTTGCCGACACCCGGCCTAGGCCATCTTTATGAAGAGCAACAATTTTTTTTTCTGATTCTCAGAGTTTTTTGCCATGAGGTGCCATGTTGAACTTCCAGTGACCAGTATGAGAGAGTGAGAGCGATAACACCAAATTTAACACACCTGCTCCCCATTCACACTTGAGACCTTGTAACACTAACGAGTCGCATGACACCGGGGAGGGAAAATGGCTGATTGGGCCCAGTTTGGACCTTGTCACTTAGGGGTGGACTCACTTTTGTTGCCAGCGGTTTAGACATTAATGGTTGTGTGTTGAGTTATTTTGAGGGGACAGCAAATTTACATGTTATACAAGCTGTACACTGACTACTTCACATTGTAGCAAAGTGTCATTTCTGCAGTGTTGTCACATGAAAAGAGAGAATCAAATATTTACAAACATGTGAGGGGTGGACTCACTTCTGGGAGATACTGTATCTGCCACAGTTTGTATCATACTGTTGTGGCAGTATATTCCACTCCAATCGGCATTAATTACAGCTTAGCATACATTTTATATATATATCTGAATAAAGGTTGTATTTTAGATTCAGCAATCGGCCAGACGGCAAAGATTTGTTATTTGCCAAAGATGATTTACAATTAAGGCTTAGTTCAATAACTGATATAATAAAAAATTAAAAATCCCAGTGGTGATCATATACCACCAAAAGAAAGCTCTACTTGTGTGGGGAAAAAAAAAATGACATATACTTCATTTGGGTACAGCATTGCATAACTGCACAATTGCCAGTTAAAGAAGCGCAGTGCTGAACAGCAAAAAATGGACTGGTAATGAAGAGGTCAAGTGGCTAATGCAAATAACTGTATCCGTTTGCGTCAATGTTTCAAAACCTTGATTTCATATATACACTATATTGCCAAAAGTATTGGCCCCGCCCTCCCAATCATGTGATTCAGGTGTTCCAATCACCTCCATGGCCACAGGTATATACAATCAAGCCCCTAGGCATGCAGACTGCTTCTACAAACATTGGTGAAAGAATGGGTCGCTCTCAGGAGCTCAGTGACTCCAAGCATGGTCCCGTGATAGGTGGCCACCTGTGCAATAAGTCCATCCGTGACATTTCCTGGCCACTAAATATTCCACGGTCAACTGTTAGTGGGATTATAACAAAGTGGAAGCAACTGGGAACAACAGCAACTCAAGCCACCAAGTGGTAGGCCACGTCACATGACAGGGCGGGGTCAGCGCATCCTGAAGCGCACAGTGCGCAGAAGTCGCCAACTGTCTGCAGAGTCAATAGCTAAAGACCTCCAAACTTGGTGTGGCCTTCAGATGAGCCCAACAACAGTGCGTAGAGAGCTTCATGGAATGGGTTTCCATGGCCGAGCAGCTGCATCCAAGCCTTACATCGCCAAGTGCAATGCAAAGTGTTGGATGCTGTGGTGTAAAGCACACTGCCACTGGACTCTAGAGCAGTGGAGACGTGTTCTCTAGAGTGACCAATCACGCGTCTCTGTCTGGCAATCCGATGGACGTGTCTGGGTTTGGCGGTTGCCAGGAGACCGGTACTTGCCTGACTACATTGTGCCAAGTGTAAAGTTTGGTGGAGGGGGGATTATGGCATGGGGTTGCTTTTCAGGGACTGGGCTTGGTGAAGGAAAATCTTAAAATGTCAGCATACCAAGACCTTTTGGACAATTTCATGTTCCTAACTTTGTGGGAAGAGTTTGGGGATGGCCCCAACATGACTGCGCACCAGTGCACAAAGCAAGGTCCATAAAGACATGGAGGAGCCAGTTTGGGGTGGAGGAACTTTACTGGCCTGCACAGAGTCCTGACCTCAACCCCATAGAACACATTTGGGATGAATTAGAGCGGAGACTGAGAGCCAGGCCTCTTCCCCCGACATCAGTGCCTGACCTGACAAATGTGCTTCTGGAAGAATGGTCCAACCTTCCCATAGACACCCTCCTAAACCTTGTGGACGGCCTTCCCAGAAGAGTTGAAGCTGTTATAGCTGCAAAGGGCGGCGCCAACTCAATATTGAACCCTACAGACTAAGACTGGAGGGCCATTACAGGTAATGTGCGTGGAAAGGGCAGGGCCAACTCAATATAGAACCCTACGGACTAAGACTGGGACACCATTAAAGTCACGTGCGTGGAAAGGCCGGGGCCCAATACTTTTGACAATATAGTATAGTTTGTAATTATAGATGTAGATGGTGGGCAGCCATATTCATTCATGGCTCTAGTTCCTCCTTCGTAAAAGAACAATGCTTTACCATATAACATTTGTGTTTTTTCAGAACTGTTCACAGCCCCTGTAATCAGTGTGACCCCAAATCCAGCAAAAGGAAGAGATGATGTGACTCTAACATGTCACACAAATGTCTCGACATACATATTGAAAACAGAACTGTGGTATGGTTTTTACAAAGATGGAGAGAACATTCAGGTATTTACCCCAGCTAATCGATTTCAAATTTTGGCCGGAAAACCAAAGCGTTCTGGGAAATATTCCTGTGCGGCGAGACCTAAAACTAGCAGTGTGACAAAGAAAAGCGGAGAAGTATATCTAAAAAGTAAGTGTATATCAAGAACTGTATATAGTGTAAAGTAGAAGAACATGGTGACCAGAGATACTTTCCATGCTCTGTATGTTGTAAGTTTGGCACAAAATAGGTAAATCAGAACTTGAAATTAAGCCCAGACCAGGGGCGGACTGACCATTTGGAAACTCGGGCGCTGCCCGAGGGCCTGGGGTCAGTAGGGGGCCCCATGAGATGCCCCTGGTATCTTTTTCATAGGCTTTTTTGAGTTTGGGCAAGGGCACAGGGGCCCCATGATCTCCTATTGCCCGGGGGCCCCATGAGTTGTCAGTCCGCCCCTGGCCCAGACATATCCTAAAACTGGACGGGTACCTGACATATCAAAGTATGGCCAATGCTTTCTTGCTTTTGTCCTCCTGTGACCTACAGTCAGCTTGTAGAAGGCCATAGCCAACTATCTCCTTGCATCATAGAGCAGCTCCAAGCTCTGGAAGGACCCACCTGTCTGATAGACAGCTATCTCCAGTTCTCGGCATGCAACCTAGAGCCCGAGTCAGCTTTTCAAACCCACTCTCCAGCCCGGAGAGCAATGACTAACAGTCACTAGTGATGGGTCGAACACCCCCCCCAGTTCACGGTAGAACATTCGAGTGGACCAAAAGTTCACTGCGGACATCGAACCTAATGCAAGTCTATGGGACTCGAACTTGCAAATTCAAAAGTGCCCATTTTGAAGGCTTATATGCAAGATATTGGCCATAAAAGTGGTGTGGGAATTCGGGTACTCCCCTGAGGGACAAGAATCGGTGAAACTTTTTTTTTTTTTTTTTTTAAAAGTACCATTTTTAAAGGGAAAGTCATATTTCATTGCTTAAAGTAAAAAAAAAAAAAAAAAAAAAAAAAATTGAAAAATTCCTGTAACTATCAAGGGGGGTCCCCTTAACCACCTCCCGTCTGGCCAATGTACATAAACGGCTGGACAGGAGCAGTGTAGGAGCGGGTGACCACTTATAAATGTCCTCCCGCTTCCCTGCCTGTGCACGTTCCCTAGGAGTGCGCGGCACAGCGATCCAATGCCCGCTGTGTCCTCCGGACACAGTGAAACACTGATCGTCGGACGGGACCTCTGTACGAGGTCCCGGTCATGTGATCACTGATTGGCCAATCAGTGATCACATGCAAAGTAGTAAGCAAGATGTCACTTGTGACATCATTGCTTACTACGTGTGAAATCTGTGAATGATCACAGAGGTCACATGGTACAAGGCTATTCACAACAGCCTTGTACCATGTGACAAGCTGTGACCAATCACAGCTCACACAGTATTTCTCAATGGCTGCAAGAATGCAGCCAGAGGGAAGGAGAAATGATTGCTTTTACAGCCTTTATGGGTGTAAAAGCAATCAGTGTTAAAAAAAAATAAATAAATCCTCCATCCTCACAAGTAGTAAAGTGTCACTATGGGTGACAGTATGTGTAAAAAAAAAAAAAAAAATCTCAATTTTTTTGAAAAATTATAATTTTTTGGTTAAACTAATTTGGGTTATTTATTTTTACTAAAAAGATAACTGAATACATTTTGGCCAAGATTTGTGAAGAATGATTATATATTTGCAAAATTGTATAAGAAAAACACTTTTTTCAAAATTTTTGGACTTTTTTATTTTATATAGCAAAAAAAAAATAATAAATACCACCAATATAAAGTTTTATCTGTCTCAAACAAAATGCTAAAAAATTCATATGGGTACAGTGTTGCATGACCGTGCAATTGTCATTCAACACTGAAAGCTGAAAATTGGCCTGGACAGGAAGGGGGTAAAAGTGTCTGGACTTGAAGTGGTTAAACTACCTGTAAAGTTGCAAATCTGTACAAAACTTTTTTTTTTTTTTATTAAATGACATTAAAAACCATTTAAAAACAGCGTGGGGTCCCCCCCCCCCAGATCTATACCAGATTTGTTTTTTTAATGTATTTTTTGCTTATTTTTTTTTAAGTATTCTTTACTTGTTTGTTTTCGGAGAAAGTATTCTCCTCCCTCTGTCTTATATAGTGTGGGGGTGGATACTGTGCATTGTGGGGTGTTTTGTGGGCAAACAGTTGGTGGTACCTTCAAGTCGTAACCCTTCAGCCCTCATACAGACGAGGTGTTTTGGTAACGTTAGCTGTGTAAAGTCATGTTAAAAATGTGAGTTTTTCAGCTTTTTTTTTTTTTTTTTTAGCGTTTATCCATTCGCAGTTTCCCGTGTTTGCTTTTTTTTTTTTTTTACCCAAAAATATTTTTTTGGGTCCAAAAAAAATCCAAGAACTCCGATTTGCAGCGTTTTACTGCATTTTGCCGTGTTTTTCAGCGTTGGAGTGTTTTTACAGCTAAAAAAAAACCCACTTTTGTTTTTGTTTTTGTTTTTTTTTCAGCCAAAAAATGCTGATTCCAGTCTGTGTGCATGGGCACCTAGGATAACATGCTGGGGGGTTTACTGGCTGTAGAAAAAAAGCCAAAAAACAGCCCCTGTAATAACGTCAAGTGTGCATGGGGACTCTAGTTATTGCTGATGAGTGCAGGATTGGACCCTGCACTAAAAATTCTAATTATATGCACCTATCATATAGGCTTTGGCCAATCAGTGCATGATGACGTCACCCCGCCCCCTTGTGACATCACAGTATTTAAGAACTGTCATCACGGTGCAGCTGTCAGACAGCAGGAGCCAGCATTGAGAGCAGAGTGGGGTGTTTTTTTTTTTTTTGTTTTTTTTTTTGGGGTCTATGGTGCCCGATCCAAAAAATTGATGACGTGATTGACGTTGGATCTACTTCGGGAGGCATTTTAACATTTTTGTTATTAAAGGACCTGTCAAAGACTCTCCTGTCATTTTTACACTACACTTTTTTTTCTTTTCTTTTCTTTTGGTAAATGGGTAGCGGTATCATGTACCCCATACTCATTCACATGGGGTGGACACTGGGGGCTTCCAGATTCCGATAAGCCCCCCGCCCGCAGACAACCAGCCAGGGTTGTGGGAAGAGGCCCTTGTCCCCATCAACATTCATGAAAAAATTCACAAAAAAAATGATTGAAACTGAAAAAAGTCACAGCATCGTGATATAGGACATTACTTGAACAGATCTGTATTTACTGACACAAGTCATCATGTGGGACAACAGAGCAGTGAGAAGCACGGAGTTAATTTTTTTTTTTTTTTTTTTTTCTCCTTTTGGATAATTTTAAGTGGTTGTAAAAGCTGAAAGTTTTTTTTTTTTTTTTTTTACCTTTTCATGCATGAAGGTAAAACACCTGTGTGCAGGAGCATCCCCCAGCCCCCCTAATACTTCCCTGAGCCCCATCTCTATCCAGCAGTGTGCATAAGTGCCTTGGCTCTCCGGGGACTCTCCCTCCTCATTGGGTGAGACAGCAGTGAGAGCCATTGGCAGACAATCACAGCCAGTGAGCCAATGAGGAGAGAGTGTGGTGGGCCGAGCCGCAGCTCTGTGTGTGAATGGACACACAGGGCAGCAGCTCGGGAGTGAGCCTGCTTGGGTGCCCCCATAACAAGCAGCTTGCTGTAGGGGCACTTGGCAGGGGGGGAGGAGCACTGGCGGGGGGACCCCGAGAAGAGGATCTGGGCTGCAGGTAAGTATAGCAAGTTTGTTTATGTTTTTAATATCACTCTACATTATACCGTGTATAAATAAGCTTTTTTTTTTTTTTTTTTTTTTTTTCTTCAGGTTCTAAGGCAGCGCTTATAGAGAACATTGCTGGGCTGGCAGTAGCTGAGTGTATATTGATAACGTCATTCATGTTCATCTTTATCACCTAATTGTATTAAAGGACAACTATTGCCAACCAAATCATTAAAAAAAAGACACCTAAAAAAAATTATTTTTTTTGCAAAGCTTTTATTAATAACATTTTGCCATATACAGTTTTTTTTTAACCGCATGAATAAGTTGTAGCAAAGTGATTACAGATACATAAAGGCCAAGCAATTATTTTAATGATTTCTTTGTGATAGTTACCTTTTTTATATTTCTGTAAGTGAAGATTCCAGCTCTCCAAAGATGCCATGAAATCCGGAGCCTACCTACTGGATCGTCCGATTGTGGGCTCTGCTGAGTATATGTCGCTGATATCATCCTGGATCGCTCATCCTCCAGTTTTCTTCCCATAATGCTGCTGCCTTTCGTTATGTATTCTGTAAATTTCACATTTATACTACAATTAAAGGCCTCCATGCCAATAGAAAAACCAGTCTAGCCTTTGTATATTCATTAGACCAGCAATGGGCAAACTACGGCCCGGCGGACCTTTTAATCCGGCCCGCGGAGCGTGATACTGTCAGGATGGCTGTCAGAATGTGTGTAGGCGGGGCAGCGTGACGAACGTGAGGGGAGCTAGGCTCCTCTCACAGTCCGCCCTGAAGACCGGAACGGCGCGGGAACACGGCGAGAGGAACGCGCGGAACAAAGGTAAGTAAATTGACACAGGGGGGACTTGGCTTACTACTTGGGGGGGAATAGTACTATGGGGGATGAAATACTATATGGGGGATGAATTAATATGGGGGATGAATTAATATGGGGAATGAATTACTATATGGGGGATGAATTACTATATGCGGGATGAATTACTATATGGGGGATGAATTACTATAGGGGGGATGAATTACTATAGGGGGGGTGAATTACTATGGGGGATGAATTACTATGGGGGATGAAATACTATATGGGCGATGAATTAATATGGGGGATGAATTAATATGGGGAATGAATTACTATATGGGGGATGAATTAATAGGGGAGATGAATTACTATATGGGGGATGAATTACTATGGGGGATGAATTACTATATGGGGGATGAATTACTATATGGGGGATGAATTACTATAGGGGATGAATTACTATAGGGGATGAATTACTATATGAGGGTTGAATTAATAGGGGGGATGAATTACTATATGGGGGATGAATTACTATATGGGGGATGAATTACTATAGGGGGGATGAATTACTATATGGGGGATGAATTACTATGGGGGATGAATTACTATGGGGGATGAATTACTATATGGGGGATGAATTACTATGGGGGATGAATTACTATATGGGGATGAATTACTATGGGGGATGAATTACTATATGGGGGATGAATTACTATGGGAGGGATGAATTACTATAGGGGGGATGAATTACTATGGGGGATGAATTACTATATGGGGGATGAATTACTATATGGGGGATGAATTACTATGGGGGATGAATTACTATATGGGGGATGAATTACTATATGGGGGATTAATTACTATGGGGGATGAATTACTATATGGGGGATGAATTACTATGGGGGATGAATTACTATATGGGGGATTAATTACTATATGGGGGATGAATTACTATATGGGGGATTAATTACTATATGGGGGATGAATTACTATATGGGGGATTAATTACTATATGGGGGATTAATTACTATGCTTACTATGGGGGAATATTACTATACTTACTATGGATGACACATACACATCATTCATCTACTCTTGGTACGGCCCCCGGGTCCAATATATGAACCCATTGCGGCCCTCAAGTCAAAAAGTTTGCCCACCCCTGCATTAGACAGTGCTCTCCATTAAATTTATTCTCCACTGCAGAAATGCTAGAGGGGGTGTTTTTCAAAGTGATATCTTAGCAAAATAAAGCCTGGAGACATGGATGGATGGGGGAGTTTACTTTGAATAGTAACAATGAATTACCCTCCCTAGCGGTCTAATTATGTCCATATTTCTGTGCTCAAAGCGGTACCTTTTTTTGCATGGAAATATGTATTTTTTTTTTTTTTATTGTAGGCCTGTAATTTTTAGGAATAACTCACTGAAATCTGTCCGAACAAGAGTCTAGTAAACAATCCCGGGTAGGATAAAACTTGAAACACGAAATCATAAATTATAATTTAATAAATAATCATAAAAAAATAATAATAATACATTTCATTCAATATTATAATCAAATCAAAAACACTGAAATTTGAAATAGAGCGCCAAGTTCGCACATCGCTGAGCAAAGTCGCAGAATCGTTTTCAGTGTCTGATGAGGAATTTCCCCCACGAATCATTATCACTCAATTCTGCAAGTGGTTCTGATTTACTGTCGCTGTTCTCTAGCCGGTCTAAAACCGCTTTTGACCTAAAGGGACGCTTTTTGGACGCCATGGACGTTTCTCAGTTTCCAGGCAGAAAGGACGGTAAAAATGCAGTCAGGGCGCCGGACAAAGCACTCGGGACAAAATGTATGTGAAATGGTTTGATACAGGAATGTTATACTATCAGATTTTAGAGTATTGAGCGAATGTCACTTTTTGTCATTTTCAAATTTCCAGCCAGTTCCGTCCCCCGTACGTCCCGACGCTCGCAGGGAACGGAACCCAGAAGACGGATGCCGGCATCCGCCGGAGGACATTACACTGCAGGAGGGACATCGCGGGAGCGCAGGACAAGGTAAGTGATCGAGGGATCCCGGAGTAGCACTGCATGGTAAGCCCAAGTGTAGCTCGGGGTTACCGCTTGTGGTACTGAAAATTTACCCTGAGCTACACTCGGGAATATCGCCAGGGGGGTTAAATAGCGTTTTTGGTGCTCAGATACATTGTAGTTCTGCTTTAAAGCCGGCCATACATGGGTCGAATTTCGAATAAAATTTACTTTGAAAATCGTAACCATTTTTGTTTTAAATTTGCACCATTAGGGGGCCGAAGCATCAGCCGGATTTCTTGAGGCCATCGAATTCGTGTAAATCGGCCATGTTGGGAATTTTTTTAAAAACCAAACTAATTTCTAATCAATGATGGGAGCATTGTGCAAGAAATATATTAATAAAAAAAAATGAGCTGTAAAAAACTATTTTCTTTAGCAATATGAGGTGAAATTGAAGGCTTGGTTGATCAAATTTCTAAATCAATGTTGGCAGCATAGGATTACGAAATGCACTGAATTTCCGATTTTCTAAAGAAATTCATTCAGAATTCGACCCATGTATGTCATGCATAACCATGTACCAGGGCCGGTTCAAACCAAAACGCAGTGCAGGAAAAGCGTGTTCTGTGCACATTTCTCACTCTGCATAATCCCTAAAGGGCTACTGGAGAGAAGACCAAAACCAAACTCTTGTTGAACATCAAGATCTCCAGATCAAATCCCTGAGGTTTCATAATCCCTAAAGGGCTACTGGAGGGAAGACCAAGAATGGCAAACTCTTGTTGAACATCAAGATCTCCAGATCAGATTCCTGAGGGTTCATATTCCCTAAAGAGCTACAGGAAAGAAGACCAAGAATGGCCAACTCTTGTTGGACATCAAGATCAAACCCCTGAGGATTCATATTCCCTAAAGAGCTATTGGAAAGAAGACCAAGAATGGCCAACTCTTGTTGAACATCAAAATCTCTGGATCAAATCCCTGAGGGTTCATATTCCCTAAAGGGGTACTGGAGAGCAGACCAAGAATGGCCAACTCTTGTTGAACATCAAGATCTCCAGATCAGATCCCTGAGGGTTCATATTCCCTAAAGAGCTACAGGAAAGAAGACCAAGAATGGCAAACTCTTGTTGAACATCAAGATCTCCGGATCAAATCCCCGAGGGTTCATATTCCCTAAAGGGGTACTGGAGAGCAGACCAAGAATGGCCAACTCTTGTTGAACATCAAGATCTCCGGATCAAACCCCTGAGAGTTCATATTCTCTAAAGGGGTACTGGAGAGCAGACCAAGAATGGCCAACTCTTGTTGAACATCAAGATCTCCGGATCAAATCCCTGAGGCTTCATATTCCCTAAAGGGGTACTGGAGGGAAGACCAAGAATGGCAAACTCTTGTTGAACATCAAGATCTCCAGATCAGATCCCTGAGGGTTCATATTCCCTAAAGAGCTACTGGAAAGAAGACCAAGAATGGCCAACTCTTGTTGGACATCGAGATCTTTGGATCCAACCCCTGAGGATTCATATTCCCTAAAGAGCTATTGGAAAGAAGACCAAGAATGGCCAACTCTTGTTGAACATCAAGATCTCCATATCAAATCCCTGAGGGTTCATAATCCCTAAAGGGCTACTGGAGAGAAGACCAAGAATGGCAAACTCTTGTTGAACATCAAGATCTCCGGATCAAATCCCTGAGGCTTCATATTCCCTAAAGGGGTACTGGAGACCAGACCAAGAATGGCCAACTCTTGCTGAACATGAAGATCTCTGGATCAAATCCCTGAGGGTTCATATTCCCTAAAGAGCTACTGGAAAGAAGACCAAGAATGGCCAAGTATCATTTAACCTCGAGAGCTCCGGATCAAATTCCCAGAGGGTTCATATTCCCTAAAGGACTGCAGCCAATCGGTACAAAGTCCAGATGGAAGAATTCCTCCCATCCACCTCCTTAGTTTCCATCTATGGCCTGCTTTGGATACATTGTACTGTCCCCGTTAATTTTTCTTCACCAATAAACACAAATCAAATACAAAATAATACCAAAATCAAATTTTATTGTATTTCCTTTTAATACAAAAGCCGTCAAAATAAAAACACTCTGTTAAAGATATTTCTTTGAAAAATAGCATACCTTGCAGCCATGAGTAACTGAAAAAAAAAACCACACACGCCAGAAATATACAAAAATATGTCTGCAAACGAACAATTCAAAGATCATTAAAACAAGCAACATAAAATCCAGGCTGCCCGGTGGGATGGCAGAGCTTCTACTGGTTGGTGGATTGGTAGGTAAGGTAAGGAGGTCATGCTGAGCAAACTACCATTGCAGGTAGCAGGAATATTCTGGTGTC